TATTTTATCTATCCTCTCCAAGTCACTATTGATATTTGCCCATTCCTGTCGAAGTTGAAGGGGGTCAAAAACGTGATAGAGTTGCGTGTCGTCAGCATATTTTTGTCCTTTGCAGAATCGCAGAACATCCAAAAATTTAACAGTATATAGAATGAATAAAATAGGACCCAAAATGGAACCTTGGGGTACACCACTATTTATTCCTAAACAATGAGACTCCACTCCGTTTTGAACTACTTTTTGTTTTCTTCCCGACAAATAACTATTCATTAAACTTACCGATGATACGTCAAAGCCAAGATATTTTAAAATGATAGGCAAAATTTGGTGACTAATTGTGTCGAATGCCTTGGAGTAGTCAAGCATTACCAACACCGTCCATTTACCTTGATCAATCCCTCCAAAAATATCATCGGTAACATTGAGAAGTGCAGTTGCACAGCTATGTCCCGCCCTGAAGCCTGCTTGCGTCTTATCAATTAATTTATTATTTTCAACATAGTCCACTATTTGTATCTTTAAGGCACGTTCAATAACTTTTGACAAAATTGGTAGGATAAAGATGGGTCTTAACTCACCAAAAGACTGGGGATTGTTGGTTTTAGCAATAGGAAGAATGTGCGCAATTTTCCAGTCAGATGGAAAAACAGAATGGGTAATGCAAAAATTTATAAGATGGCAGATATATTTTAAAACGAATGGGCAGCAAAAAACAATGAAATTAATATGGATTCCATCATGGCCAGCTGCTCTCGTTTTAATCTGCGTCAAATAGTGTCCTATTTGCGTTTCTGTAACCAAGGAAAACTTAAAACTGTTGCTAGTATGCGGGGAATTACTATAGTATTCATTTATATCAGGCGAAAGTGACCCTAAAGGTGGAATGGAGTTGATGAAAAAGTTGTTAATTTGATTGGGATCAGAGAGGTGGTCTGGAATTTTATTTTTGGCATCCTTGTTATTGATAATATTTAGGTTTTTTAAAGATTTCCAAAAAGTTTTACTGTTTTTACTATTTAATGTATGTTCAAGATATGCTTTCTTTTCGTTTTGAACTACCTTGTTCGTAAAATTTCTCAACTCTTTGTAACGCGATTGACTTTCTGGAGTTTTGGAAATTTTAAATTTGAATTTGGTTTTATTTCTCAATTTGATCAATAGTTTAGTATTCTCAGTTATCCAGGGCAAATGTTGTTTCCTAAATTTAGCTGTTTTTAGTGGCGCATATATATCTAGTAAAGCATACATATTTTGGTTAAAGAAGGACACTTTTTCATCAATTGAATCTAGATCGAATATGTGTCGCCAGGGTATAGATTGAAGGGATGCATATAAAGAATTTAAATTTATATTTTTATAATCTCTGTATCTGGTTGGTTTAACTCGACTTTTTTCTGTTCGCAGCTCTACATCTGCAAAAATTAATTTATGATCAGAAATGTTTTCATCAATAGTGCCTGAACTGATGACCTTTAAGTCTTTAGAAACCAACAGGTGGTCAATCAGTCTTCGACTGGTTGGAGTTATTCGAGTTGGCTCATTTATGATCTGTTCCAAATCCAGACAGTCTAAAAAATCTAAATATGAACGAACACCATATTCACTTATATCAAAAAGGTTCAAATTAACATCCCCAAAGCAAATCAAGTGGTCAATTTGAGGCAGAATATCTAGACAAATATTTTCTAACTCGTCTATAAAGGGACTTGGATTAAAGTTTGGGGGTTTGTAAATGCAACCTATTGTTAAAATTTTTGCCTCATTTAGCTTTATTTTTACCCAAAGACATTCAATTACGTCATGATAGCAGTCTAGTATTTCATGTTTTATTGTATTTTTGATATAAAAGCCCACCCCACCACGATCTCTACCCACTCGATCCCATCTGTAAAAGTTGTAGCCTGGTATTTGGACAACACTACTAGGAATATGTGGTTTTAAGTTGGTTTCACTAACTCCTACAATATCATAGGATTCTTCTAGAATAAGGTCTGCAAACCTATCAAAATGCAATGGCAATGAGGCTATATTTAAATGACAAACTCGCAACGTATTAGACATAATAAATATTAAAATTAATTTCTATAATAAAAGCGTAAATATTAATACACCCCAGATAATAAAGCGAATCAAAATTTACACCTAATCCCTAAAATATTATACAAGAGTATTGAATTAAGTAGGAAATTACCAAAAAAAGAAGTGAACAGAAAATAAAAATTTAGTAAACTAAGAAGAGACACTAAATGAGTAACACTTGGGTCCCATAAAAAGTTTTTCCACACTTCTATACCTTGAATCCGCTACGAAGTTGCATATTTCCACCGGCGGTCGGACTATAATTGATCTTGGGCCTTTTTCTTTTCTTTATTTCCCTAATTGCAGGCGTTTTACTTTCAGTTGCCGCTTTCAAGGAAGAATTCGATTCTTTTCCCGTAGATTCGTGAATATCCTCGTGCTCAGACTCAACTTCCGAGTCAGTGTTAGAGTTAGTTTCTTCAAGTGCTCTTAGTTGTTCCACAGAGTACACATTATCATCAACGATTAATTTGAATCCCTGTATTTTTGCTGGTAGTTTCTGATTACGATACGAGCTTCTTTCAAATGTTTAACAAGAGTTTTCTGCAACTCTCGATCCTCTTTGCTGTAATCGTTGGATATGCTCACATCAGTATTTTTCAATTTGAATGCAAGTTTTGTGACTTCACTCTTCTTTAAAAAAGAAACAAATTCTACAATTATTGGTGAGTCTTCCCTGTTTTGGATCGCAAAAATATTGTTGATATTAGGCCTGTTCGCACAGCAATCACAAACCAGTCAGAGCAAATTTCATTGGTTGAAAACAATCAGAAACAGTCAGAAAACTATTTTCAACCAATGAGATTCACTCTGACTGGTTTGTGATTGTTCTGCGAACAGGCCTATTATCAGCACAAAGGTTAACCCCCAATAAGGTGTTTAGCGTTTTCAAGGTGGTTTCAAGCAATTTATCTTTCGATGATTTTATACCATGCACAAAAATATTGTTTTTTCGCAATTTTCGTTCAAGAGTTCGGCAACGGATTTGCAATTTTGAGAGTTGAGCTGTGGTCTCTTGTAGCCTATCAGTTAAACATTTTTTAATTTCTTGAGTTAATTGTAATGTTAAGTCCTTTTTCAGCTCAGTGGTTTGCTGCTGATTAGCTTCCTTTACGATTTGCAGAAACTCAGCTTTAAACTCTGCACCCAACTGATTCATAATAGTTATTGATGTAACCGCTGGTGAATAAAACCACTTCTCGGCTCGTCCTTCCGTACGCAGGCAAGAATGTGTCGCAAAAAAAGTATTGTGGCTGCAGGCAAATTTGAGCCTTAAGGAAATATTTTCTGCAGCGTGCATCCACAATCGAACGGAAATTTCTATGTTACGCAATGAGGAAATTGCTTACCCCCACTTCTGACGATAAAGGGATACAAGTACTAAACTTTTGCACAACTTTCACAAAATATTTTCTCTTTTTTTAAAAGTAAACTTGGCCGAAATAAAGACAGTGATCGGAAGGTTTTAAGTCGAATATTAATGATCCTACCTTACCTGCTTGTGCACTTTTTTGACGTTGACAGCTGTCAAAATTAAAGATGGAATTTTTTTAGTATTTTTTACGTGTTCGCCGAAATCTATACGGATGCACCGGTTTCGTCGCCATCCGGTTTAAAAAATTATTACTCGGCCGCGCGACTGTGACAGATGTCAAAATTTTTTTTCCCAAATCGATTTATTTTTCAAAAATAATAAGCACTATGAAAAGTCCTTTTTTTGTTATTTTCAAAATTTTCCCTTTACCAGTTTTCTAGAAAAATAAATAAAATGTAACAGGGTGAATTTTCTTTAATTTTACTTGAAAAAGTCAATTTTTCAGATTTTTTCTTGGAATGATTTCTCCTGGAAAATTTTGAAATTTTTCGATAATGAACTCCTCACTTTCCTTTTTCTTTTGGAAAAATTTCACAATTTTGGCTTTGCCAGTTTTCCAGAAAAAAATTGAAATGTAAAAGGATGAATTTTGCTTAAAAAAGTCAATTTTCCAGAACTTTCTTCGACTTTCCTTGAAGTGATTTTTCACTAGAAAATTTTGAAATTTTGCTATAATGAGCTCCTCATAATCTTTTTTCTCTTGGAAAAATTTCATAAGTTTTGGTTTATTAGTTTTCCAGAAATAAATTGAAATGTGAGAGCATGAGTTTTTCTAAATTTTACTTGAAAAAGTTAAAGTTAGGGGAGGGACACTGTAGGTAGTGCTATGGTGGAATGCCGAATGGGAGTGCTAATTTTAGCTTTAGGGGTGCTTAGCACCCTCAAGCACCTCCCTACTTGCGCCTATTCCAGCTCAGCGAATCAAAAGGTGGTGACACATAGTTCAAAATGTGGTTATCTGGATGGATATCTTAGTCCATTGGATTAAATAGTCAATTGGGGGCAACTAGGAGTAAAAATATTGATAAAACCGGATCAAAAATCGCTATGAGAAGTCGAAATTATCATTTTCAGCGGGTTTTGAGTTTTGACTGCCCCTGGAAAAATCATCTAGCGAATTCATAATTCATATTTTGACCATCACCGGCTCTTGATTAACCTGTAGGAAAACTTTCCAGCCAATCAAGAATCGGTTACAGTTCAAATTTTGACTATTACAGGCCTCTGATTGGCTGAAGGAAAACATTCCAGCGAATCAGAAGGCGGTGATACATAGTTCAAAATGTGGATATCTTGATCCATTGGATTAAATAGTGAAATGTTCATTTAAACTGGCTCAAAAATCACTACGAAAAGTCGAAATTTTAATTATTAGCGGTTTTTGAGTATTGACTTCCCTTGGAAAAATCGTCTATCGAATCAAGAGCCGGTAATAGTTCAAATTTTGACTATCACCGGCTCTTGATTGGCTCCAGGAAAATTCTCCAGCGAATCAAGAGCCAGTAATACTTCAAATTTTGACTACAGGAAAATTTCTTCTATTTAGGTCATGTTAGAAAAGACAACAATTGCATTAAGCCTTCTAGCTGTCGAGATTGTGAGTGTAACATCTTGCCTCACTTACAATACGTCACTTACGACGAAAGTAATTTCACTGTTAGCGGTAACTGCGTCTACGTCATGTCCAGAGATGCTTTGGTCAATGCAAAAGATGCACACAAGTGGCAGGTATTAATCACCAATCATCCTTGCAAAAACAAGCCAGAGAAAATGTGCGTTGGAAAAGTGACTATTTTGTACCAGGGGCATAAGTTGCACATTCTGATGGACTATTTCCGTAACAAGCTAAAACTGATTGTGGACAATGAACGGATAGCGGATTACGAAGAAATTGAAGATTGGGCTAGGGTGAGAGAAACTGCCACTAAGCATATGAAGTTGTTGCTTACTGAAGATCAAGTTGAGGTAGATACTTTACTTATGAAAACAAATCTTTTCAATAATCATTTTAAGGTTTCCGTCTACTATCCGTCCCTTGGAGTATCCGTCAAAGCACCATCTCACAAATACGGAGGCAAGCTTGAAGGTTTATGCGGCGATTGCAACAAAAATCCCAACGACGATATCCGTTATGGCCCCTTTGATGGAAATCCAGGAGGACAACCCAAAGATATAAACGATTTTGCTCTGAGTTGGTTATACGAAAATTTACCCGGAGGCCAATCCAGGCAAGGTTGCGAAAATAAACCCCAAGAAAAATGCATGGAGTTGACACCCGAAGATGATCCTTGTATGCAACTGTTGCAAATTAACAAATTTGGACAGGTGAGTTAATTTTGAAGTTATTCAATTGATTCTAGATTATTGGTTTTAGTGTCTCAACGTGATGGATCCTTCATTGTTTTTGGACTGGTGCAAAAAAGACACTTGCGGAAATCATCCCGAACTATCTTGTACAGCAATAGAAGCTTTTGCCAGAGATTGTTCTGCTGCAGGATTCTGTGTCAATTGGAGGAACCAACATTGTCCAGCACCAGTAAGGGTTTTCTAGTTTTATGAAACATCAATAATAATATAATTATTTTTAAGGCTTGCCCCTCAGATCAACACTATGAACCTTGTGCAAACTACAAACAAGAAACTTGTGAAACTATTAATTCTAACAAGAAATCTTCTAGTAGTGTCAGTGAAGGCTGTTTTTGTTCAGAAGGCAAAGTAAGCATTAAGGAAAAACCTAAATGTTAAAGCCTCCAAAAATATCAATTTTAGGTTCTCTTGAATACGACCTGCGTAGTACCAAAAGACTGCGAAGTGTGCGACCTAGAAGGTCACCATCCCGGCGACGTATGGAACAAAGACAAATGTACCACTTGCAAGTGCGAAGGCACCTCTCTCAAATGCGAAACCCAATATTGTCCCGGCAAGGAAACGATTTGCGAAAGAGGATATAATGCTATTAAAGTTCCAAGATCAGAAGAAGCTTGTTGTGATAAATATGCTTGCGGTAAGCACATTATATGTTTGAAAGCAATATAAGGAAAAAATTATTGTAGTTCCTGAGCCTACAGCAGGCCCAACATGTGAAACCCCTCAGAAACTAATCTGCGCTTCAGATCAAGTATTAAAACTAGACACCAAGCCCAATGGTTGTCAAGCGTTTGTTTGCGAATGTAAACCAAAAGATGAATGTGAAAAGGTGGATTTGAACAACCAAGGAGCCTTAGAGCCTGGTTATATTAAGGAAATTGACGATAGAGGTTGTTGTCCATTATTAAAATTAACATGCAAAAAAGACACCTGCCCTCCTCCTATTGATTGTCCACAATATAATACTCTAAACAAAGAAGAAACAAAATGTTGTCCAGTGTTCACTTGCAATCCTCCAAAGGATAAATGCATATTTGAGACTGCTTACGGAGCAGATGAACTTGGAGGCGAAAAACTATTAACAATGTAACTTGGTTTAGGTACATATTTGACTAAAGTATACTGATTTTAAAACTTCCAGATATGAAAAACAAAAAGTTTTAAAGCCTGGTAACTCCACCTGGCAAGATGGACCTTGTAGGGATTGTAAATGTATTCTTACTAGCCTTGGTAAGTTTCAGGTATTAATTTTCACTAGATCTATTTACATATCTCATATACTGTCTTCTGCTTTATCAAGCTGCCACTCTTAATGTTTCTTTCTAGAAATATTTTGGCAAATTTGCTTCTTGAATAATTTCTCTAATTTTATCAATAACACTTCTATTGAATCTTTCTGCTTTTCCATTCGTTTCTGTATTATGAGAACTGATAATAGTACGGAATACGTAAATAAGAAATTCAAGAAGATGCTTAATGATTCTGGTATACAGAGTCAAAGTCATCAGACAACTGTAAGATACTCTTCGCAACAAAATGGGGTTAGCGAGAGAGCAAATAGAACAATTTGCAAGAAAGTTGAGTACTTGGAAAAATCCCCTATGAAATATGAAATAAAGAAAACCCCAATTTATCAGAATTAAAAATGTTTGGTTGTGAAGCTATGGCGTATGTACCATCGATCATGAAGGATAAATGAATTATTATGGAGAAGATACGAAAGATCCAGAAACTGAAAAAAAATATTTTCAGTAGAGATGTTGTATTCTTTGGAGGAACAAAGATACAGAAGAATACTACAGAAAAAAAGTCAAAGATGAACGAAGCGAAAATTACTGTATGGCCAGTAGAAAGTGAAGAGAATGAGGAATATATTGATGCAAACATGTATGTAAAAAGTGAAAAGAGTAGTGTCCTTGAAAATGTTTGATGTATGTATGTAATTTACTCATTTATTCAATTTACTTATGAAATATACTCATTTAGTACATTAAATTAGTGATTTTCAAATCAGAATCTTTATTCATTGATTCGAAAACTCAATCATTTCCAAATCAGAATCTTTACTTATTAGTTCAAAAACTCCTCATTTTAATATCAGAATAATTCATTAATAAGTTAATTGCTGCGGAACTCGCTTCGCTCGTCCCGCAGAGGTTCACATAAATCATTCACGAAACTCTGCGGTAAAATTTTCATTTGTTACATCATTTTTCTAAGGGTGATCAAGAGCTGGTAATAATCAAAATATGAGTCATAAGTAGTGACAAAATCTAAACAAAAATGCAATATGAATGTAACAATGTGATGTGACACTTGCACAATTCAAACGAAAAGGCAATATAAATGTGACACTTGTAAAGCAAAATTTGAACAATTTCCACTTAAGTAATGGCCATAATGGCCACTTACACAGCTACCACTTAAGGGATATTTGATCTAAGTGGAGCTTTGAATGTGACTTTTGTTTCTACAAGGGTCACATTCAAAGCTTCACTTGGATTAAATATCCCTTAAACTATAGTGGTGCAAATGGCCGTTAATAAATCTCAAACTTTTTGCCTTACGGCTATTAATCAAGTACCAAGTGAAATTTCCATTTGTTACATCATTTTTCCAAGGGTGATCAGGAGCCGGTAATAGTTAAAATATGAACTATCATAAGTGGTGTGACAATTTAAACAAAAATGCAATATGAATCTGACAATGTAATGTGACTCTTGCAAAGAAAAATTTGAAAAATTTCTACTTGGTAAATCTCAAACTTCTTCTTGCCTGAATCAAGTACCAAAGGGTGATCACGAGCCGGTAATAATCAAAATATGAACTATCATAAGTAGTGACAGAATTTAAACAAAAATGCAACATGAATGTGATGTGACACTTGCAAAGCAAAATTTGAACAATTTCTACTTAGTAAATCTCAAATTCCTTCTTGCCTCAATCAAGTACCAAGAAAAAATTCCATTTGTTACATCATTTTTACAAGGGTGATCAAGGGCCGGTAATAATCAGAATATTAACTATCATAAGTAGCGACACAATTTAAACAAAAATGCAATATGAATGTGACAATTGCAAAGCAAAATTCGATCAAAAAGGCAAAATCAATGTGACACTTGCAAAGCAAAATTTGAACGATTTCTACTTGGTAAATTTCAATACTTCTTCTTGCCTTAATCAAGTACCAAGTAAAATTTTCATTTGTTACATCATTTTTCCAAGAGTGATCAAAAGCCGGTAATAATCAAAATATGAAATATCATAAGTAGGGACACAATTTAAACAAAAAAGCAATATGAATGTGACACTTGCAAAGCAAAATTTGAACAACTTCTACTTGATAAATTTCAATACTTCTTCTTGCCTTAATCAAGTACCAAGTAAAATTTCCATTTCCATCAAGAGCCGGTAATAGTCAAAATATGAACTATCATAAAGCGAGTTCCGCAGCAATTTACTTATGAAATATACTCATTAGTTGATTAACTTATTGATTTTCAAATCAGTATTTTTATTCATTGATTCAGAAACTCACTTATTTTCAAATAAGAATTTTTACTTATTAGTTCAAAAACTTTTCATTTTTATATCAGAACGATTAGTTGAGAGGTTCAAAAGTGAGTAGAACTCAATATAGGTACGCATGAAATGCACTTTTCACTCCATAATTTAAAACAATTTATCAATGAGTGATCCACTCACGGCAGCAGTGATTTTGAAGAAGTAGAAATTGGGAAGCAAATAGCTGATATAAAGTCTATTATAACAAGAACTGGTAGAGGGATACATAACCCTCAGTATCTATTTATTTATTTATTTATTTATTTATTTACAAATTCAATACACTACAGAATAAAATACTTTAAATGGTACAAAGATTATCTTCAAAATTATGGGATATACACCGTGATTGTTGTAGCCCGGTGGATTAAACGAGATAGCATCTAATCCACCTGCAAGCTAATGTACATTGTACGGGCTACGTAAATCACCCTGTATTCTACATATTTAAATATTACAAAATCACAGGAAAATCCTTAAGCATTTTTAGAAACTCAGAACAGTTCTGAATGGCGAGATTCTATCAACAATGAGATGAAATGTCTAAGAAATCTTGAAGTTTGGATTCTGTATAAACTTTCTGATAGTAAATCTGCAATTGATACGAGATAGGGCAATCTATCATGTTGTAAATTAGTACATGTCCACATGCACTTTCAAACGACACGATAAATTACACTTTTTGCCCATACACATACGAATTTTCCTTTGAAACTGATATGCCACGCGTAATCACATGCTAAATCATTTAAATATTTTGTCAAGTGTATGGAACATGACCCTTTTTTGCCACGCCGTTCTTTCGGGCATGCTAACCGTTACATCCCAACATGCCACGATAAACCGCGCGAAATAACGTACCTATGTGTGAAGTGCGACAAGTGAGTGAACCTGTGTGGAAGGAATGCGGGCATAACCCCTCCTGATTGGCCCGAGATTAAATATACAAATAGGCGGGTCATCGCGTCAGGGTAAATGCAATTTTCGCAATGCACCACGTCGGGGACCCGTCGCGTCGTATAGTATAGGTTTTCGCCTTCCCCTCTGCTACTTCATACGTTACCAAGGTTCACTCACTTGTCGCACTTTATGCCGGCCTATGTTCATTGTAGATTCATTGGAATAGAGATAGCAAGAACTTCTGACCATAATACCACAAAATAACTTTAATATCTATCGATTCTTGTTCCCTCTAGTAATATCCCCATTCTAAACTCCTATGCTTGATAACTTTTTCCATTCAACAGCTCAATATTAACTTGTTTAGGTAACTACCAATCAACGTGCAACAAAATCGAATGCCCAAACATAAATAACCACGAAGACTATCCAGAGTATGTACTCAAACCAATCCCAGTCCACAATCAATGCTGCCCCCAAATAAAGCGAACAGCTTGCAAATTCGACAACAAAATATACGAAGTAGGACAAGAATGGCGAAAACAAGGCGACTATTGTAAAACGTACAAGTGCGTCGAAGAAAACAAAGTCCGAATGGAAATTGCAGTGGAAAATTGCGGAAATAAGCAATGCAATCCTGGCTACGAATATGAGGAAGCCAGCGAAGAATGTTGCGGCAAGTGTGTACAAGTTGCTTGTATTGTAGACGATGTTGTGCGTCAAATAGGAGAAGAATGGACTTCTAGTGATTATTGTACAAATTATTTTTGTTTGAATTTAAATGGATCGGTAAGAAATCATAATTTAAAAAAAATATATCTAACAAATAAAATACTGAAAATTTTTAGTTACAAGTTGAAGCAGTTAAAGTGAATTGCCCCACAATAAGCTCAGACGATTTTGTTTATGAATCTCATCCGGTTGTAGGAGAGTGTTGCCAGATACACAAACCTGTTGCCTGTAAAGTGGGACAAACAATTTACCATGTAATTTTTTTTTTTCAAAAAAATTATAACTATACATTTATCATTACATGAAAATTTCTAGATTGGTGCAACGTGGCCTTCAACCAAATGCAAAAACATAACTTGCCTTCAAGAATCGCACGGATTAGTAAAGCAAGAGTCTGTGGAAACTTGCAAAAAAGATTGCTCCAAGGTACCTATTTACATGAATTTTTCAAGCCAACTAAATTAAACACATATTTCAGGGATGGACATATAAAGAATCAGACACGGCATGTTGCGGCGAGTGCATACAAACTTCTTGCATTGTGAACGATGAATTGAAAGCTCCTGCAGACACATGGAAATCTGAAGATGGCTGCGTGACATATTCTTGTGATAAACTTGGTAAATATTCAATGAATTTTCCAATTAATTCTTAATCGACATTGTTTTTAGGTGGTCAGCTTCTTGTATCTAGCAATCACGAATCTTGCCCCTCAATAGAAGATTGCCCTAATGAAAATATTTACACTAGAGGGTGTTGTAGGTATTGTAATGTCACTGTGGAACAAATGAGTAAGCATTACTATAATGCTTGATTATTTTTTAAAGATAATTGATAATTTTGTAGCATTATGTAGTCCGCAACCAATACAACTAGAAAAAACAATCAAAATGATTCAAGTTACAAGACATGAAAATGGAAAATGCTTTAACAAACATCCTATAAGGGATTTCACTGAGTGTGTTGGAACTTGTCATTCTTCAACATTCTTTAACATAAGTAAACATCAATTTGAAATAAGTTATTGCCTTATGAAACCTAATTTTTTTTCAAGGATCTGGATTGCACGAATCTGTATGCTCTTGTTGTCAGGCAATCAAATACCAACCGCTAGATGTAGAGCTGGAATGCGAAGACGGCTATAAATGGACTAAAAAAGTAGCTGTGCCGTCAAAATGTAATTGTGTGGCATGTGGAGAGGGAGCCTCACCAATGGTGGGCCAAGTAACTATTAAAACCGGCTGAAAATTTAATATTTTTGTTATGTATGGGGGAATTAAAATATTTTTTTGAGTACTTTTTTTTTAATTTCAAAATGACGTTAACTAAAAACAATTTAAACAGAACAAAATGCATCTTAACTATATAAAGTTTGAGAAAAAAAAGATTGGGACTTGGTAACAAAGAAGTGCAATAACGATCCCTATTAATGGAGTACTTTGTTTAAAAACAATTATTGGTCCAAAATAAATAAAAATGTTGGCCAATAGAGACACATAAAAAATAAATAAATAAATAAAACATTTATTTTTTACATAACAAGAAAACAAAAACAAGCCTTGTATATTTACTATTAAAAGTACCTATTGCTTTATAAAAATAATACCTACATTTTCCCTCCAAGAAAATACTATCACAATGAATATGTCAAGACATAACGCGGCCCCTCTTTTTGCAAAACATCGTATATTTTCTCTATACAGATTTACACCTTATATATTATTACCTTTTCCTACGTACAAATTCAGTCTTCCAATATCGAAACGTTTTCGTCGATCGTCAACGTGTACAATTGTTCCACGTAAAGGGTTTTGGCGTAGTTGATTTGCTGGGCGGTGGTCAGAGCCAATTCGGCGCTCCTGCATCTGACCCGTGGTCGTTTGATCGGGTCGGCGTTGCCCAAAATGGCGTTACCGCTAGAGTAATGCATCACGATTTCGATGTAGTATCGCGAATCGCCCGCTTCTTTTTCTTTGATGACGTTACACGTTTCTAAGTCACTAAAAGAAAAGAAGAATTTGAGTAATTTCTATTCAAATTTTGTGAATTCATATCAACAGAAATGAAACTGGAATGACATTATGAGAATCTAATATTGTCTTGTTCAGGAGAACTTGAGAGGTAAATGTAAATGGCCTTGCAAAATGTGTACACCAGAATCCCACGATATTATCACTGGAATCCTACTGAAATCCGACACAATTCTACTGGAATTCCACTGCAAATTAATTGAATTTTGAACTGATGAGTGAAAAGTACAGGATCTTCTTTCATGTATTGCCCCCCCCTTCTACAGGGCAAGAAATGGCAAAAAATTGTGAATACAATTTTTGGGGTTTTATCTGAAATTTTTGAATCCGATGTCAAAAACTTTTTGATTTTTTATAAATGTCAAATTTTGACAGATTATCAGTTTTTTCTTATGGAACACCCCTTATATGACTTCATAGTTGGAAAGAGTCGAATTTTCTGATTTCATTCCATAAGAAAAAACTGACCATCTGTCAAAATTTGACATTTTTAAAAAAACAAACAAAATTTTGACATCGGATTCAAAAATTTCAGGTAAAACCCCAAAACTTTTGTATTTAAATTAGGCAATTCAAACCACGTGACATTCAAGATGGCGTGGCGGCCACACATGGGCCCAAAAACACAAAAATTATCTAGTTTCTGCCAGAATTAATAGTTTAGGTACCTAGTCAACAAATATTTTATTAAATAATGAAAATCAAAGTTGTCAGCAAAACTGTATGCAAAATTATTTAAAATACGCATAAAAACATATTCAAAACAAGCTTGTTTGGCCGCCACGCCACATTGAATTTTCCTTTTTGACAGATGGATTGAATTGCCTAATACAATTTTTTGATATCTCTTCACATAACCTCCAGAGAGTGTGTTTAAGAATGAGGTGTGAAAGTAGGGTAGTTGTTTGTCACAGTGTTCTAACGTTATCACTTGGAGTGCACTCTGGGTGCGCCTTTTCTGAACGTAATTGGGGTGTTACGCTAAATGGCAACATCAAACCCGGTAAAACCTCTAGGGTGCGTTCAAGGACGGCAATGCTTATGCCAAAACCTACTTTTCCCCCTCTACCGGTAATGCCGAACCACGTAAGTTGGAGCCGAACTCGAACGCAAAATGCCAATTTTGGCTTGGCTGTAGCCATTCCTGAACGCAGCCCGGGGCGCTTCTCAATCCAGTCCCCGAGCCAGTCCCTGAGTGGAGTAATTTGAGCGCACCTCAGGGGCGCACTCTGGGCACGTCAACTTTCGATTTTTGAACGATTCCAGCGTAACGCTCCGAGTAAGCACCTGTTAATTTATGAACGGGTTAGAGTTACTCTGGGGTCACTCTCACACTCAGAGTGCTATTTCTAAACGCAACCCTGTATTGGGGAACTCAATATTTATATGGTCAATATTTGTCAATTAGGGACAACTGGAAATTACCGTCTTAGAACGGTTCTCATGTCGGTTGGAACAGAGCTGGGTCCTTATTCTAGAAACAAGGGAACAGCGTTCCCAGGAGAACGAGTGTTCCGTCTTTCTCAATGATATGCAAATGACAATATAGAGAACAAAGACAAAAAAAAACACTCGTCCTAGGAACGCTGCTCCCCTAGCTGTTTCAAGAATAAGGACCCTGATGTGTTTCAATGTATTATTTTCTTGAAGTTTAGAGACCGATTTTCCAAAACGGCTCAATTAAAAGTAGTTAAATCATATATATTTGAAATCAGAAAAATCAACTCTTTTCAACTATGGAGTCACATATAGGGCGTTCCATGAGAAAAAACTGACCATCTGTCAAAATTTGACATTTCTAAGAAAACAAAAAAAAAATTTACATTGGATTCAAAAATTTCAGGTAAAACGCCAAAACTTTTATATTTAAAATTTTTTGATATCTCTTCACCTAACCCCTGTAAGAGGGGGGTCAATATATGGGGAAAGTGTTTCAATGTATTATTTTCTTGAAGTTAAGTGCCCGATATTTCCAAAACGGCTCAATCAAAAGTAGTTAAACCACATATATTTGAAATCAGAAAAATCGACTCTTTTCAACTATGGAGTCATATATAAGGTGTTCCATAAGAAAAAACTGACTATCTGTCAAAATTTGACATTTATAAGAAAACAAAAAAAAAATTGACATTGGATTCAAAAATTTCGAGTAAAACCTCAAAACTTTTGTATTTAAATTTTTTTGATATCTCTTCACCTAACCCCTGTAAGAGGGGGGTCAATATATGGGAAAAGAGTGTTTCAATGTATTATTTTCTTGAAATTTAGAGCCCGATATTTCCAAAACGGCTCAATCAAAAGTAGTTAAACCATATATATTTGAAATCAGAAAAATCGACTCTTTTCAACTATGGAGTCATATATAGGGTGTTTCATAAGAAAAAACTGACTATCTGTCAAAATTTGACATTTATAAGAAAACAAAAAAAAAATTGACATTGGATACAAAAATTTCGAGTAAAACCTCAAAACTTTTATATTTAAAATTTTTTGATATCTCTTCACCTAACCCCTGTAAGAGGGGGGTCAATATATGGGGAAAGTGTTCCAATGTATTATTTTCTTGAAGTTAAGTGCCCGATATTTCCAAAACGGCTCAATCAAAAGTAGTTAAACCACATATATTTGAAATCAGAAAAATCGACTCTTTTCAACTATGGAGTCATATATAGGGTGTTTCATAAGAAAAAACTGACTATCTGTCAAAATTTGACATTTATAAGAAAACAAAAAAAAATTGACATTGGATTCAAAAATTTCGAGTAAAACCTCAAAACTTTTGTATTTAAATTTTTTTGATATCTCTTCACCTAACCCCTGTAAGAGGGGGGTCAATATATGGGAAAAGAGTGTTTCAATGTATTATTTTCTTGAAATTTAGAGCCCGATATTTCCAAAACGGCTCAATCAAAAGTAGTTAAACCATATATATTTGAAATCAGAAAAATCGACTCTTTTCAACTATGGAGTCATATATAGGGTGTTTCATAAGAAAAAACTGACTATCTGTCAAAATTTGACATTTATAAGAAAACAAAAAAAAAATTGACATTGGATACAAAAATTTCGAGTAAAACCTCAAAACTTTTTATATTTAAAATTTTTTGATATCTCTTCACCTAACCCCTGTAAGAGGGGGGTCAATATATGGGGAAAGTGTTTCAATGTATTATTTTCTTGAAGTTAAGTGCCCGATATTTCCAAAACGGCTCAATCAAAAGTAGTTAAACCACATATATTTGAAATCAGAAAAATCGACTCTTTTCAACTATGGAGTCATATATAGGGTGTTTCATAAGAAAAAACTGACTATCTGTCAAAATTTGACATTTATAAGAAAACAAAAAAAAATTGACATTGGATTCAAAAATTTCGAGTAAAACCTCAAAAGTTTTGTATTTAAATTTTTTTGATATCTCTTCACCTAACCCCTGTAAGAGGGGGGTCAATATATGGGAAAAGAGTGTTTCAATGTATTATTTTCTTGAAATTTAGAGCCCGATATTTCCAAAACGGCTCAATCAAAAGTAGTTAAACCATATATATTTGAAATCAGAAAAATCGACTCTTTTCAACTATGGAGTCATATATAGGGTGTTTCATAAGAAAAAACTGACTATCTGTCAAAATTTGACATTTATAAGAAAACAAAAAAAAAATTGACATTGGATACAAAAATTTCGAGTAAAACCTCAAAACTTTTATATTTAAAATTTTTTGATATCTCTTCACCTAACCCCTGTAAGAGGGGGGTCAATATATGGGGAAAGTGTTCCAATGTATTATTTTCTTGAAGTTAAGTGCCCGATATTTCCAAAACGGCTCAATCAAAAGTAGTTAAACCACATATATTTGAAATCAGAAAAATCGACTCTTTTCAACTATGGAGTCATATATAGGGTGTTTCATAAGAAAAAACTGACTATCTGTCAAAATTTGACATTTATAAGAAAACAAAAAAAAATTGACATTGGATTCAAAAATTTCGAGTAAAACCTCAAAACTTTTGTATTTAAATTTTTTTGATATCTCTTCACCTAACCCCTGTAAGAGGGGGGTCAATATATGGGAAAAGAGTGTTTCAATGTATTATTTTCTTGAAATTTAGAGCCCGATATTTTCAAAACGGCTCAATCAAAAGTAGTTAAACCATATATATTTGAAATCAGAAAAATCGACTCTTTTCAACTATGGCGTCATATATAGGGTGTTTCATAAGAAAAAACTGACCATCTGTCAAAATTTGACATTTATAAGAAAACAAAAAAAAAATTGACATTGGATTCAAAAATTTCGAGTAAAACCTCAAAACTTTTGTATTTAAATTTTTTTGATATCTCTTCACCTAACCCCTGTAAGAGGGGGGTCAATATATGGGAAAAGAGTGTTTCAATGTATTATTTTCTTGAAATTTAGAGCCCGATATTTCCAAAACGGCTCAATTAAAAGTAGTTAAACCATATATATTTGAAATCAGAAAAATCGACTCTTTTCAACTATGGAGTCATATATAAGGTGTTCCATAAGAAAAAACTGACCATCTGTCAAAATTTGACATTTATAAGAAAACAAAAAAAAATTGACATTGGATTCAAAAATTTCGTGTAAAACCTCAAAACTTTTGTATTTAAATTTTTTTGATATCTCTTCACCTAACCCCTGTAAGAGGGGGGTCAATATATGGGGAAAGTGTTCCAATGTATTATTTTCTTGAAGTTAAGTGCCCAATATTTCCAAAACGGCTCAATCAAAAGTAGTTAAACCACATATATTTGAAATCAGAAAAATCGACTCTTTTCAACTATGGAGTCATATATAGGGTGTTTCATAAGAAAAAACTGACTATCTGTCAAAATTTGACATTTATGAGAAAACAAAAAAAAATTGACATTGGATTCAAAAATTTCGAGTAAAACCTCAAAACTTTTGTATTTAAATTTTTTTGATATCTCTTCACCTAACCCCTGTAA